TTGGTTTTTAATTAGCAAAAATATCACGTAAGTATTTATACATAAAATACTTATACAGGCTAATTATAACTCTTTTATATATGAAAGTCGTTTCAAATTAATTAGGATCATTATTAGTAATTAATAAATTTTCATGTATTTAATCTTCATTGAAGGTGACATAAACGAAATGAACAAAACAGTAACAACATTGTTTATTTTCATTAAACCACAAGTTTTCTATATTATTACTAGGAAATATATAATAGTGGATTTCCAACGATGGTCTAATTAATACTCATATATTAGTAACGTGGGCTATGGATGGAAAATTATAATTGTGCGCATTAATATCGATGATTCTTGTGATCAAAGTCCATGTTATTTATTTTCTATTTGTATTGAGTTAAAAATATTTTTAAACAAGTTCAGTTTGTAAATTAAATATAGACAACTAATAATTCTATTAATACTAAATGAGAAAATTTGTAACAATGGAAAACTATTGAACAAATTTTAATGAAATTTGGTAATTTAATGAAATTAGTAGGTATAAAAAAAAGCACTTATATGACATTATGTCTGAAAAGATGTTGATGATACTATGATCTTGATCTCGTCTGTATTATCTGATAATTTAGAAAATGACATAATTTTCAATATTTCTGAATATCCAATACAATAAATAATCATCAAATTAGTTGCATTTAGATATAAAAAGATATAAAAACTTGTTATTAAAAAAAAACCACATTTTTCTATTATGTTTTAATAGAAATGTTGTTATATTTATTTATTTATTTCTTATTGCATTCCATAATATGATTAGTATATAACATTTTAACTTCAATTATGGACCCTGTTGGGCACAGCAAGTAGGAGAGAGGAGGACAACACTTTTTTTCACTTTAGAAGTAGTCTAAGAATCTGTTACAATATTATCCAGTCATTGAAATTGTATCACTATAGGTACGTATTTTCTTATTATTATTCATTATTTAATTATTAAATTTTAATTATTTAATTTATATAAGGTTTTTTTTTACTATAACAGATATAAGGGACTCACCTGATCGTGAGTGCCGTCGCCTGTAAGTTTTAAATTATCAATGACGTAATGGAAATATGTTTAATTATATTTAAATATAAAAATAAAAATGCATTGCATATCTTGCTTATAGGCATATTACCATTATTACTTTTTATTTTTTACCGCAACCGATTTGGTGGTGTAAAATTACTCGATTTAAAATAATCCATAGAAATTAGCAGTATTGTAGATGGACAAAGGAAACAGTATTAATCATATTGTTTGAACATAATAGGGGAGAACTAGTTTCGTACCACGTGTAAGTGATAAACTTAGTAAATAACTGAAAATGACACTGTTTGTCTATGCGAATTAGATTATTTGTTTTGCGTTATTAGTACAAGATTGATTAGGAATATAAATAAATAAGTGAATATCCAATACGACAATACTGTGACACAATTAATAAATTTGGCGATTATATGTACTTACTTAAATTTCAACTCATTTTTATCTTTCATATAAATTTGATAATCAATTATAACTTTTCATGTTTACTATCTACCTATCACTTCATGACTATACGCACTTGCACCAGTTGTGTGTATGTGTGATAGTTGAGTGATACGGATTTTTTATTTTGCATGTTGTGTGTTTAGGTATTTTTAAATTACGAATCTCAATAACACAATTCAGTTACTGAAAAGTACACAAGAGAGAAATGCCTACAGTTATTGTTCTTAAATTAATAGGTATCTATAGAAATATGTATTTTTCTTTGTATAACAGTGTAGATTTAAATAACATAAAAAATTAGATACGTTCTTTAAAACTACCACATACGCAGAAATTGAACAATAATGATTGTTTAAACGTTTTAATTATCTACATGTAAAGGCAAAAGAAATATTAGCACACAGGTTTTTACTTATAAAACAAATAAGAAACAATACCTATTGGATTAGATAGTGGAGCGAAGTTTTAACTGATTCGATAATAAAGGACAGATAAAGTAGTCATCGGTTTATTTTTATCAATAGTTAATAAAATCAGAATCTTATCATAAGAGTTTAAGTTCAATTCGTTAATACTCGAGTTATATATTTTAAAGTTAAAAAAAATCTCTCAAATATATTGTATCATATATAATACAACATTCTGCAAAAAATGGATTGGAATTATTTCGATTTAAAACCAAACTATCTATAACTATAAATCGATTTTGATAAAATTTCTATGGGACTAATTAATAAGTATCCCTTCAGATAAAAAAAGATTTTTAAGTCGATTTTTTACTGGCAGAATTATCAGGTAACGAATAAAAAAATAATAGATTCGAATCGGGCCCCTTCGTTCTTTTTGAAGTATCTCTTAATAAGTATTATTCATATACGAATTACTTTTTATAATAATTACATTTCCTCATACTTCTACGTACATACATACAATGACGGTAATAAAATCAGAAACGATTTTCTTTTCATATCAATTACATCAATTATTGTTATTACATACTTCTAAATCGTATTCAGCTACAGATCGATTATTTCTGCATTTTTTATCGTACACCTAATTATGAATAATTGTGATGATAGAATTAATATTTATATCTAACGTGGTTGGAATGCTTGTACCTATTTTAAAAACTTCGGCCTGGTGTAGTGCCCTTTAAATTATTTCTACTCGTGCCAACACTGGCGCTTCATTGACACAATTATCTTTTATTATATTTCAAGATTGTATATAATGTATATACTAACTGGCATTGTTTAGTTGTAAAATATTTTTCATCATGTTTTATGTAACAGTTTCTTCGTTGGTCTTTTTAGTGTTTTCTAATTTGTTCGTCATCGACTTATTGGAATGAGTTGTTTTTATTTGAATTGTCTTTCGCCGATTCATTAAAACTTATTATTGCTATTTTTAAAGAAGTTGATTTAAGCATATTAGAGTTTGGTTTGTGTATTTTCCTTTAATTTATAATGTATACCTATCTAATTAATCTTCTAGATTCAGGCGCGCGGAGCACCGTGCTCCGTCAAGCGGAAATCGCAGGAAATTTCATTAAACTTTTCATATGTAATATCTTTGTTAAAGTAATATATGTACAAATAAAAAATAAGTTGAAAAGTTAAAGTTTTTACAGATTCTTAATACATCATCACATTTATCTTTACAGGTATTAAAGAGTATAATTATATTATTTTCTTTATATATATATGTATAAAACTAAATTCTTTACAGAGTGTTCATAGTGATAAATTTGTTCATTTTCAGAAACTGCGTATAACGTTAGGTGTAATAAAAATCTCTCTATTGAAAGTTATAAACAAACTTTCAATCCACTAATTATAAATAGATACGTTTCTTGTGAAAATGATGTTGTGAAAAAAGGTGTTTCACTATTCATTTTGAAACGAGATTTTTAAATTTTCTGATTTGAATATAGAAGTGACATTAATTTATTAGCAATTAATAGTAAAAGTTGCTTGCTATGATACTAAACGGCATTTACTTACGGATTTTAATTACGATAATTAGCAACTAAGGGTACCTAATGACTCAAGTTTCTATTAATTATTTTTTATATTAATTAATTTAACTGGACAGATTGTAAATTTCATTGAATTTAAAGAGCCATTAAAAATAATAAATAAAATTATAATATAATTAAAGACCAATCCCAGAATGATACATGGTATTTACTACATTTTGATTTAAATAAATGCTCGCAAAACCAGGCATGGAAAAGCGGCGCGGGCGCAGTTCATACGCTGAGCGCAGTCGATTTCGCAAACCACCATCTAATGTGAACCTATTAACCTCTTCGTCGAGCGAGGCCCAGAGGCGAAGGCGAGAGGCGGATGAAACGCGAATAGTGCGTTCATTAGACACAAGGTTGTGCCGACCATCCCACCGGACTTACTAAGGTGGAATCGCGCCACCCACACTGCACCGTGTGCATCCCTACAACTAATAAAATCAAAAGTAAACAAACTACCTTACCTTGCCAACTGTAATGCACTTTGAGTAGCAAGCTCATTGTAGAAATTCAGAAAGATGTTACTGTCGAACATATTAGCACTATATCACAGCCATGTTGCGCACAAAAATACAATACAAAAACAAACAATCCGAAGCACCAGCGGTCACAGGATAATCACAACGTCCAATCCTAGGCACGTCCGTGCGCGAGCGACGTCAAATCAAACTGGCCCGGTCAAAATGACGAAAGTGAAAACATCGCACGCACAGAAAAAAAAAGGTTGGCGGCGCGCTACACAGTCCTTGCAGGCCACCTCTCGCGTCGGCTCTAGTGACACACTAACGCGAGGCGCGCACATCGCCGTCGCCTATATAATGAAGCGTTCAGAGCCTCAAACTTCAAATGCCCGTGGACGGCACAAAAAGAAGATGCCTTAACAGTAGCTAGGAAAGATTGAACACAAAGTGTAAAGACACGGAGGCGCGTGTGCGTGCACGTGCGAATGTCGGTGTGAGCTGAGAGATAGGCGGTCGCAGGAAACTCCGTTCTCTTCCACAAGGAAAGACCTTGGATATGAATCGGCACGTTGCAATGTGTACCGCCATCGCCTACGCTGCTGTTACCTACTTGACGGTTCCAACAGATTAAACGATGGTTTCATATAAAGTGTTTATTTTCAATCATCACGATTCTCCGCTAGAGTATTGTAAAGATCAGACGCAGTTTACTCATAGTCATAAGATATACATTGGCCTAGTCAATAGTTAATGAGCGAAACAGATAGGTTTATTGTTAAAACAAGCAGTGGCTGCATGGACAAACATTGTAATTACTGTGACGATGATGCAACGAAAGTTGATAATGGTATTTGCAATTTGACACGTTTTTAACGTGGGTGGTTGGTGAGAAATGGAAATTGTTGCGCAATTTCGCCTGCTGAAGCAGTTTAAGATAATGTTGGAAACTAGGTCACTGATGGCTACTTTAATGATCTAATTCTTCAACAGTGCAGTACATTACATATAATGCTTATAAATGCGCAATTAGATTTAACATTAGGGGCAATTATGGGACGGCATTTCCCTAAACTTATTTCTTAACCTTAGTAGGTTTATTAATAGTTTAATTTGGAAATAATGAATTTCGGGAAATTATTGTTCCATGGACGACCATAAACTAAAATGACAATGATTTTAACTTTATTTGAAAAGTAGTTCATATTGGCCCTTACAATAATACTAACGCTGTGATATCAAATTGAAATTTTAATTTTAGAGATAGGATTAGAGAAATTACGTCTCAGAATCGACCCCGTTATAGTTTATGTTATATGTTGAGGAGATATCATTTTTTCTTTAATTGCCCCAAGTTAAAGCAACATTATTTGCACGCAGTTGTATAGAAAGGTTTTAAAATACAAAAAATAATAATAATATAAACAATGCAAATTTGGACAAACATAAGCAAGTATTTAATTTAAATAAAAAAAATCACAAATCGTATTTTGTAAGTAAAAATAATTAGAATTGTAATGAAAATAGAACATAAACAAAAATGGTTGCATAGTATAAAGCAACTCTCGACTGGTTAGCGCGACTCGTTCCGTTTCCATAACGTAATAGCATTTCACTTTCATTTCCTTAATCTCATTGTCTAATGAATGCTCGGGTTGGATAACTTGCGAATTTCATCCAAAGATGTTATATGCATTACGTAAACTTAACAGATCGGCTTCTGTGAGAATCGTTTTAATTGCATCTCTTAATTTAATTTCATGTTTGTTATTGAAATTTTATTTTGTAAAGTGAGAGGTTCTCACATTGTGTTAATGTCTAACCTTTGCCGAGTGTCTTAAGCTTTGTGAATCAAATTGAAAAAAACAAAGAACTTTAAAAATAAAATTGCCGTGTAACTATAAAGTTTACACATTGAGTTGGGGTACCCTTGCAAATATCCTGTTTTTAACAGTTGTACTATTATTTAGTGATCCGATCTTGTAATGTAGATCCTATTCTTAGGAAATATTTATTATTTCGCAGCATCCTAATATTTATTTATTTTGAATAAATCCATTACTAAATATATACTAATACATTACGTAATTTTTAATATAATTGGCATGCCAATGATATATTGAACACACAACCCAAGAATTAATTTTATACAATTACTAGCTTTTACCTGCGACTTCGTCCGCGTGATCGGAATATATTTACTGACCGAGATAAAAAGTAGCTATAGGCTACTTATATCCTTTTCCATCTCATTTAGTACGTGAATGTCAAATTTCATAGTGATTGGATAAGTCGTTAAGGCGCTATAAGGTAATAAACAAACAACAAACTCGTTTTCTACATTTGTAATATTAGTAACGACGCTTTACTAAATTTTGTGTATTTATTTTTTCCCGTTTATCGTCATTTGTTTAATTTGATCAAAAATCATATATTTATAACATTACTGAATTAATTACTGTTAAAATGTTTATTTTATCTATATAGAAAAACCTTAAAATAATTATAAGGACAATAACGGGCCATTGCATTTTAAATAAACATTTATACTCGTTAGGGCTCACAGATATTCCTCTATGTCGAGGCTGTTTTGACCCCGAAGAAACGACTGCTTACGTAATCCTGAAATGTGTAGCTGTGGCCCTTCAACGTTCATAAATTCATGGAACAGTGAGGTCGCTCCGTGAGGCCTATGGAGATTCTAGGTAGCTTCTATGCTTCAGGGCGGAGCTAGACTGGCTGTAGGTATTAGCCACGACTTACACGTATGTCGGGAATATGGGAATCCAATTTACATTTTACATTTACAACATTACTGATAATCAGATATGATCTTAGGTAGTTCATCTGATAGAAATGGTAATCGTTGATCTAATGTACATTGTTGACAATGGCATTCATTTCTTGATCACTTCCGGAGATTATATTTTTGTTTCTTGTATCAGAAGTTCTTTTCTGTTAGTATTTATTATATGTATTTATGCTAAAATGTATCTGTCAACTTAATAATTAGACTATTGTAAAATAATTAAAAGAACAAGAAATTAATTGTAAATGTACGACACATTTCTATTTGCATTATAAATATGGATGGTGTCATAGAGCAGGATTGTTTGATACCGACGCGTTTTCGCATGTATTGCAAAACAATAGACCATTCAGTTCTAAATGTCTATCAACTAGCACGCAGTGCTATGTAACGTTCGACTGTACGAAAGTACTTAAACGAATGACAGGTTTTATTGTCTATATAAGGCATTATTTGAGATCGTTGTGGTTTAGTGGCAGTGAACCAATGAACTTCAGAGGATGAGATTATTCGTATTAGGTATTAGGGATCCAATTGTTAATAACAACGGGATACTTTTGAAATCATAGACGTGTTGGTGATCGTTCCTGAGTCGTGTCAATGAAAACATACGAGTATATCGATATATTTTCTTTATAAAGTCCAATAGACATTTTTATTATTTGTTGTCACTGACCTTTCTTTATCTGACAATATTAATTCCGGCTATTACTACTAGTGTTTGCTTTTGTTAAATTTATAATTACAAAATTATTTTTTTCCAATAAAAAAATATTAATCTAATATTTTTTTTTATTAATTGTCCTGAATAGGTAAGAACTAAAGTACATCTTTAAGAGGAACTTCATTGTTCATATACCATAGTGTGGGAACATGGCCCACTATCTTTGAAGGAAAATTACCTATATTGGTATACGGATGGCTCCAAAATGGCAACAGATACGGAAGCTGGTATCTTTTGAAGCGAAAGCGAAACAAGGCATATACTACACAAGATGGATCTATCTTCAGACATTCTATGCAGATTGTACAGTGAGAAATCTGATTCCATGGAACACCTGATGTATAACTGTGATTCTTAGCAAGTATGCGTATGAGTCGACTGGGAACATCATGTCCAAAGTTAGGGGAGTATAGGTATCTTAAACCATGGGATTTCGTAAAGGTAACACTTAGAAAGATAACATTATTAGTTAAAAAAACATATTATTGTTAATAAAATATTTAACATTTTAGAATATTATGTTAATTAAACTAGATAAAAATTAAATTCAATTAATAGTTAATTAGTTTTAAGTATACAGTATGTTAATATGTAATGACCGCTGGTATTGATACTGGTTGTTTTTCTTTTTGAAAATTTTATTTTTACTTTAATTTTTAGTAAGTAATACATACATTTTTACAGTAAAACAATTTCTATACTTATGAATATTAACACTAGTCGTAAAGAATGGATATCTTTAATTAACATACTGTTTAGTTAGTAATCGCTAAACACTACTAAAGCTGGATATACCATTGCAGGTATTTCATTGAAAGAGCTATTATAGTGGTATAGTGACGATACTAGTAATAGTTGCGCGGTGTAGTTCCAATGTTTTGTTATAACCTATATACATATTTGGCGCCAATTACTTTCCCTTTAATTCATACAAACTAAAACGTCCTACAAACCTGACTTTTAAATTGAGAATATATAGCAAAAGAAAAAGACAAGGCGCTGCAATAGCTAAAAGAGGCGAGATTAGATATTTTTATGAATAATGATTCAGTCTCATCCTAAAGTATTGTCACGAAAAAAATTAGAAGGGGGAATAAACAACTTGAATTGATAATGCTAAAGTTATATTGTCACTTTACATTACCTATAAAAATAAACCATAATGAAAGATTTGCTGAAAATTATTACCACGTGTCTATTTTGTGTTTTCACTTAATATAGATCTAGGTTGTTTATTAGATTTACGTGTCGGACGGTGGTAAATGTAAGAATATGTTTTTAGGAGAAACATGTATTTTAATGATTTGTATGATTGATCCAAACAATTCCATGGAATCAGTACATAAAAATCTTACGTTAAGTTACGATATAACCTACCCGTAACAAATTATTCAGTAGTTTATGCGTGATAGTAATAAACATCTATTGTTACAAAATTTCGCATTTATAATATTAAAAGGATAATTATCTATGTTCTCGTTGATTGATTAATTTATTGATGGCAGCAATGCGATTTATAGAATTATTATAAAATAACCAAATTATTAAATTTAATTTTAAGTTACAGGTATCGAATCCAGGAATTTTGAATGAATACTAGTGTTTATCAAAGTGCAAACTAAAGTTGTAGGTATTGGAATTTGAAATATGCAAAAGCGCATGGACTGTATGTAATAACTTTTTTTTATTTATGCAGGATACTTGTTGTATAAGTGATATATAAAATTTATGTTGATATGAAAGAGACCAGAAAGGGAGTAAACATGAAATAAAATATAAATGAAAAGAAGATAAAAAAATATTTCGACATCAAATAGATATGAGAAAAGGGCATAATCCTCTTGTCCTTTTGTTTTTGAATTTTTTGATTGAAGAACGTTTCTATGAATGTCTTCGAAAAAAAAAATCTACTTAGGTATATTCATTCGGGCGCGAAACAAGAGTGAAGTCACCGATACTGTTCACTGTACCATAAACTTTCGCTTTAACATTTCTTCGAGTGAAAGTTCTTAACGCATGTATTGTACTTTTGTCACTGGCTAATCGCTATCTTTATCATAAATCTTTGTCCTGACATTTAGCGACACACCCACTAACTTCGTAATGAAAGTTTCAAACTGCAGATACTTGTGTAATCGCATGATGGATGTTTGTTATCTTGATAGAATGTTGACTTGTGCAAAGATAGGAAACAGAAAAAGTATAGGTTGAATTCGTAATAATGAGAACCTAGTATTTTTAAGTGGTTCTTCTCTCAACCTAAAAATTATCTATGTTATGTATAAGTACGTCTTAATATTATCTCTCAGTATTTATTTGTATACTTACACTGAAAGAAGAAGTCACAGCGTGAACGTTTTCTATGTGTCTGTTTGCGGCGTTATGGTTTCGAATTGAGTGCTCTTTTGTTACTTAAGAGTTTCTTTCACTGAGATTGTATTTTACATAATAATAATGTATTACGAGTTTTCATTTATATCTAAAATATCTACTGATACATAGTTGTGTAGGTACTCTTTAATAAACGTGTATGATGAATTAATTTTTATTAAAATTGCTTCAATTTACGAATATAATCAAAATGCTGAATTCATGTAATAAAATTCTTTATTGGCAACGATTATATCATTCATATAATATCGTGTTCTATTTCGATTTGTTTCGGTTATCTCAATTACGTATTAGTGCCATAGCTCGCGTGAAAGTGTTTCTCGAGCGAAGCAATCGAAACAGCGTTATGCATCCGCATCTACCGTCATTGGATCCGTCACGATCGACCGTGGCTGCCATTTATTAATAATAAACGAAAATTCGTTATTTAACTAGCCTTGGACCATGTTCCTTTCAGTTCTACTTAATGATGACAGTTGCTTGAAACGTGCTGCTTGTAATGGCTTCACCTCAATGACCGTATAGCTGTGGTCACGGAGTCTGCAAGGTTTCCAAGTAATGTTGTGAACGGTTCGACAATGAAACAGTTTAGGGCGTTACTGTCCACTGTATTATCTATTGCTATGGTTTGGAAAAGGTATTTGCAATTACAATTCAAAAACTTCGTTGTTAGATTTATTTCGTATCAAACGAAATGATTTGATAGACAAATAACTTTCGAAAGAAAATTCGACATGCCGAAGGTTTTGTAACAGTCATTGAAAGCGCGGCTCGGCGAATGAGCCTCGCTGCAGACGTCGAAAGTGAGACCGAGAGGTTGCGCAGGCGTTACGAAGTTTTTATTGTCGGCCGCGCGCGAAATCACTTGAAAGTTGTATTGTCCTTGGATATTTCACTTCTTTATTTGTTGCGTTTCCGACACCCGAGCCGAAGTTCAGTCGTCGGTGACGCCAATTGTATGTACTTTTTAAGTATGATGGTGACATTCAGTCCCCTTCACTGCGATCTCCCGGTAAACAGATTTGTATACAATGACGTTCCCGCTCGTTCCCGAATTATGACGTCTTTCTTTTTCGCTTCAATTTCCATACTGTTTGATGATACCATTCGCAAATATAGTGCTAGAATTAAAAAGTGAAGAAAACATGGGTTCATTGGATCTATATCTTACCAAGGGATAACTTTAGAAGAGAATCCGTCAGTATCACCAGGACAATCCAGGGTGTTTGTGCGCGCAGTGGCGCACGCTGTGGCTTCCCGGCGCTTGCGCCACTTCCCCGCTTGCGACACGCTTCCTCCGGGAGAGTGCGAGGCCGCGCGCGAGTTCCGCGCGCTAGTTGCACAACGTTATCGGCGACCCGGTTTCGACTTTCGCCACGAACACTCAAACTCAATCCTGGGATGCACTGTAATAGCACTGTAATCCGGGCACAGTCACAGGCGCGGTTGTTTTGCGTTCAGAGCGCGTTTGGGCATCGGCGCGACGGCGCTGCGGGCCGGGCGCCGGGCGAGTGGCGCGCGCGGCCGCGGCGCCGTCGTCGGTTGCGCCACACTGGAAAGTAAAAGTGAGCGGCGGGCGCGGGGCGCAGCGGCACATTTCTCCCACTTTCGCTGCGGTGATTCATTCCTCGCTCCTCGCCAAGGTCGCTTCCCGCCACTCCCGCGCATGCTGTTCCGAGCCCCGCAATCTTCCCGCGGTTGACGCGTCACGATGCGACTCCGCCGCGTGCGCTGATCTGCATATTACGGTAACTGGGCCATATTGCGTAGAAACAGATAGAGAACACACCTACTTACTAATGTCATGTTTCAACAAACTATTCACCTAATTTGCAACGAGAGCAATCGATAATGATCTAATAAACGTTAAACATCCACTTTCTCTTCGTGAAAATATTTCTGACTAAAATATAATCGTTTTCAAGTCTAAATAATTTTGTAAATTAGGGCAAATTAATCGTTTATGTAAATAACTAATATGCACTGGTTCATAGTAAAATAACTGTATTCTTGATTATACTTTCTCTTTCTGCTTAATTGTACAATGCACTTAAAGGTGTTTGTGTTAATGATCTGTGCACGCCCGTGCGTGCGACAATGAGTTGCAGGACAATAGGCACTTGAATAGTTGATTAAATGGGCTGTAGAGAAATAAATCGGCGAAATGTCAGAGAACTAGCTACTATACAACAGCAGTGCTCTAAATAAACGTGATTAAAATCTCAACTAGTACTATCATTGTATGGAAACTAAGTCTATTGTCATGCGAACCAATATGAACCTTATTTTTAGTAAGTTAATGTGAACTAAATGGAGGGCATTGTTTTTGGCATGTCCATATATGTAGAGGTTTAATACCTACATTGAATTTAATTAATAAAGTATGGTGATAGTCGGAAAATAGGTAACGAAAGTCATAAAAGTTGCTCCTTGAATATTAACACTATAAATAGACACCGTAAAACTCATGTTTTGCTATTCATAAGAACTGAGATATCGTGTCTTTATAGACTTATCCAGTAATTAGTAATAACTACGAAAAAAACACTTAATGTGTACATAATAATCTCATAGCACGGAATCAATCAGACGCTAATTTCAAACATAGGGATGTAGCTGCAACATTTGGCAAGTTATTTGTATCATGATTTCATGCTATATATGTGTTTTATATGACCATAAATAGTATTAACGTTTGGCTTTTTCAATTATAACTCCAAAATTTCAGAGTCTCTATCGAATACATACGCTTTCTAGGTAAACGTCATCTGCATTTAATTCCAGATGTATTTAATATAAAATAGCAAGCTAAGGTGCATAATATAGATATTATGTACATTAGCTTAGCTTGTTTTATTTGTTAGATGCTTAAATTTTCAGATTCCATTTGCAATGGTATTGTATGAAACTCTAAGCTTGCAAACGAAAAATAGAAGCAAATTAGACAGATCGTCTATAGATAAAAATAGTACCATGGGTGCAACATAATATATTGTGACATAAATAAAATCACATATGTGATGAGACTATCAAGGAATAAGGGACTTTATTTGATTGAGGGCTGGGAAATTGTGCTTCCGTATCCAATAATTTCTTTGATATATCTCTTTACTGTGTGGTTCCGGCATAGAATGAGCCATCCCTTCCTTTCACGTAAGAGGCGACTAAGGGAACTTAATGGTTGAAAAAGGAACAGCAGAATTCTTCTTAAAATAACACCAAAAGTCAAACTGCCGTTTCCAACTCGCTTGCCCAGCGTGGCAACTATCGGTAAAGCTTTCCAATAGGCTGAGGCCTATGTTCAGCAGTTTACAGATAATAGCTAATATGATGATAATCTCTTTAGAAATTCAAAATAATGGACTTTCAGAGCAAATTGCCTTTCTCTGTTTTGAAAAAAAAAATATTTCTTCCTGATCAGATGTCGTAGAAAAAAATACTTGAAACCTGAATTTACATCGACGGCAACCTTAACGTCGACTGAGCTCTAATTATAAATATGAAACTGCAATAATATGCTGCAGTCGGAAGATTAGTTTATACAACGTTTAGTGTTACACAACTCAGCAAAGAAAAGTAAATGCCTGGGTTAGGTCGGCCTCGGCCGTGGGTCGTAGAAAGTATGCATTCACTTTCAACTTCAACTGCTTTTTAAGTTAAACAAGCAAATTTCAGATTTGAATACTTTCTCATCTGTGCACATGTTTATTAAATTGCAGGCACTTTTCTTTGGATTACATCTACGCATTTTATATAATCAAGTTATGATAATTTTAGGAACAAAGATTTTAGAAACAAAATTATGAACTTTTTATAGAGGTATTAAATAACCTATTTAACCTGTTCCGTTTTTCTTTACCAAATTATCATGAGTATATTGTGGTTTACATTAGCAGTATGGTTTCAAAACTCGAAATAAAATCATGAGTCGTGTTTGTTATTCGATATTCGCTTATTTTATGGTCTTGTAATTAGTTAATAATCAGGATCTGTGACCAAATGTAGGGTATTTTTGAGTTATTATGATGATGAGACTAGTCTGCAACCCTCAGTTCTTGTAACAAAACTGTCATGAACTTTTAAATGCAATTAAAACAGTGCAGTATCATGTACCTATCAAAACAAGTTCACAGTTGGCGATGTAACCTAGCCACAAAAATATAGATTAATGAAGAAAACCCACCTTTGACCGTCGTTTGTATGTCCAAGGTACTGTCCAACAATTGAGTATATTACATTAGATTGTAACAAAGATAGTTACAGTGGACAGCGGTGAAGCGGCATTGAAAGTCAGCATTGTATTACGTAACACTAGAAACGTCGGCCTGCGTATCGAATATCAGAGTCGGCCGCACGTGGCTGGCTCCACGCATGTGCATCCACTGTTTAATGGCATGAATATTTATTCATTCAAATGTATGACTATTCCACATAGTTTTATAAGAGAGGAGGAGATAGCTTTGTTTGATTGATTTAATTTATTCGATTTTTTTTAATGTCCTTTTTTGATAATGGAAAGATGAGATGATAATCCAGGGCACCCAAATTCGATTCAATGCAATTCAAATTTGAAATTCTTATTCTCTAAATAAAAGAACAAAGAAATGGCACTAGCAACTTTGGCGTAATCTAATATTTACTATTTATTTGCATTATCATATGTAGATTATCATATATCATATTGTTTTACAGTATTGGAAACCAAGTTACTCAAATTGATTCATGAATGTATTTCTTACAAAGATTTTTCCAACTATGTATTCTCTTTGTCCCAGAAAAAATTACAGTAATGGAATCATATGTTCAGAATTCTGAAATGGCAATAACCTTCGCCTTCAGCGCATATCGTATCGCTCACCATCGCCAGGGAATCCATCCTTACACCTTAGAACCAGAATGGTCACACTGTTCTGGTTCGAAGGTGTAAGGATTGCGGTGTGGTTTCAGAGGAGATTCTTACTGCGAATAATCGGGTTGTGGAATGATTTTCTTGCCGAGGCCTTCCTTAGAGATTCCAGCATGGGGTTCTTAAAAAAAAAGTATTAATGTTTCTTAAGGCTCGGTAACGCGCAGATGACTTCCTTGGTATTACAGACATCCATAGGTTACGGTAATCCCGTTTACCATCAGACGGACAGTATGCTTGTTTGTCTCCATAGTTGTATAAAAAAAAAAAACTAGCTTATTTGGTAGAGAAATTTCTGGGTATTGTGACTATGGTCTTGTTTTTCTGCGGTGGACATTCACCATGCTACTCGACTGACACTCTTGTTGTATTCAAAACTCATTCTACCTTAATACATTTAAGCAAATGTCACATGTGCCCATTTTGGTGTTAAGTAAACAAAATGTATTTTTGTTTCTTAAACTTTAGCTTCGCTTAAATTGAGTCTCGGATTCCTGTTTCAAATCAATGTTGAAAAATGACGATTGTCAAAAATTTTAATTTAGAAATAGATGTTTGTTACTATTTCACATGTATAAGGATGCTTTTTTCTGGTGTCAGGAGTTTCTACGCCGTTTTTGTTGTTCAAAAAAATCTCTGACGTGATTTAATGGGTAACGACTTTATGTTCCAAAGCACGGTTCCAAAGTACGCACAAACGTGCGTGGTGCCAATCGATCATGTATAGGCTTTTTAATAACCATGTAATGTCTAAAACATTTAAATAAATACACATAATGCCCACAAAGATTTAAAAGAGTAACTGTTGAGTTAAGTGGGTATTTCTTAGAAGATAACATTACGAACCCTGCAGCAGAGTCATAAAAAAGTACTATTTAAATGTGCTTGTAAATCTATTTGAATAAAGATGATTTGAAATGACAGAAGCACGAAAGTTGAAGAAGCAATGAAAATCACTGGAAACCATGTTTATTAATTCTTGGTAAATTTGTCATATTTCTCATGATGGACAAAATTACTTGTATTTATCTCCTACTATCTCATACTGGTACCCCGCAAGTGTAAACCAATAGCACAGGTGTAAATGAAATGGTAATCATTTCATTTATAGCGTGACAAAATTTAGGTTTCTATCTGTGTATATATTTATGTTATATGCCTACGAAGTAAGCAAAAAGAGTTCAATGCTAACGTTCTCTATCCGCACACATTTCACGCATCGGTGCATTGTCATAACTTACTACATTTTATAAGATATATTTTATTTGCACAATTCTACGACCAACATATTATTAAGAACAATTGCTTTAGTTTTATCTATTTTATCATTGTCTCAAGCCACCTAGTTCTGAGTTGGTAACTCTTGTTTTTCTATATTATTTTATTATGAAATATTAATAAATTTTTAATGGAACTATCGTATATAATTATATTACATACATTACTTTGGTAAGTGCAAATATTAATATTTATTCCCCTATTTTCTTGTCCAAAGTGTAGTAAGATTAAGCGAACAAACACTATTCTTAGAAAAGGAAAACTTAAAATGCTACATCAAGCTGCCTGATCATGATGATGATATACGAGGTTTGTCCGGAAAGTACGTATA